AATATTATTACAATCCGTTAAAACTGTTCAAAACTTTTCGAAATATCGAGAAAATAAAGACTATGGAAAATCTTCAGTGAAAAGTCGAGAACAAATTACGAAAAAATAATACTAACTATCCCGATAAAAGGTCAATAAATTGTTTTAAAATATTAAGGTGCAATTATAAAAATATCACTTTTTGTATGCACATTTGCAAGAATGCCATTTAGGAGTGTTCATTTACAAAAATGCCACTAATTATATATTTATAAAGCCTATATCTTAAAATTCTAAACCCTAACAAATGTTTTGACACCTATAACCCTCTAAACACTCAAAACTAAACCCTAATAGGATATAATTAACCCAAACATAAATAATATAAAGAAAAAATAATTTTGAAAAAGTGATATTTTTGTAAAGATTTTAAAAATGTGGCATTTTTGTAAAATGACACTTGAAAAGTGGTATTTTTTGAAATTTATCAGATATTAAAGGTCAAGTAGAAAATGTCACATCTCGCCTTACAAAACAAAAGACATTTCATTCAAGTTTTATCGGGACAAGTTTCTATTTTTAATTAATGCCTATCGACTTCAAAACATGCGTGGCATTAAAACTGTGACAAACACGTCAATTTCACGTCGTCCATTATTTCCGTTAACCTTTTTCCCCCCAATGACTTATTAAAATTTAAATAAATCCTAACAGTTTGTTCTTACGCACGTCACTTTGTTTTGGATAAGACAGACAGAACATTTCTTCCCACTTCACTTAGTCGTCGCATATTAAACAAATGTAAATTACTTCTTAAACCATTCCTGTTAATTTCTCTGTTAATGTATATAACCAACCAAGCAACAAATTTCATATACTTGTAGACTTGTAATTACAAGTGAGACAAAGTCCATATCATAGAGGACAATGGACGAATCGAGCCAAGTCCTCTTCGACAAATACGAGATCGGAAAACTTCTCGGAACCGGTAACTTCGCTAAGGTATATCACGGAACAGAGATCTCCACCGGCGATGACGTGGCAATCAAAGTCATAAAGAAAGACCACGTGTCGAGACGTCGAGGCATGATGGATCAAATCGAGAGAGAGATCTCCGTCATGCGTCTCCTCCGTCACCCTAACGTCGTCGAGCTCCGTGAAGTGATGGCCACGAAGAGAAAGATCTTTTTCGTCATGGAGTACGTCGACGGCGGCGAGCTTTTCGAGAGGCTCGACAGAGACGGGAAGCTCCCGGAGGATCTTGCCCGGAAATATTTCCAGCAGTTGATCTCCGCCGTCGATTTTTGCCATAGCCGCGGCGTTTTCCACCGTGATATCAAGCCGGAGAATCTGTTGCTTGACGGAGACGGCGATCTCAAGGTGTCGGATTTCGGATTGTCGGCTTTGATGATGCCGGAAGGGCTCGGTGGTCGACGTGGAAGCAGCGACGATCTTCTCCATACGCGGTGCGGGACGCCTGCTTACGTGGCGCCGGAGGTTCTTCGGAATAAAGGATACGACGGAGCAATGGCGGATATTTGGTCGTGCGGCATCGTTTTGTATGCTCTCCTCGCTGGATTCTTGCCCTTTATCGACGAAAACGTCATGACCTTGTACACGTAAGCCGTATTTTTAAAATTTTCATTTGAACAAGTTATAACTGTACTCCAAACCGGGTCTGGAGTTTTTGCCCTTCCAAAACTAGTTATTGTTGAACAAGATTGTGCTTGTTGCTGGTTTGATTGGAGCATTCTTTTTATGAACAGGAAGATATTCAAGGCAGAAATCGAATTCCCGCCGTGGTTTTCCCGAGAATCGGAAGAAATGATCTCAATGTTGCTTGTAGCTGATCCTGAACAACGGATTTCCATGTCAGAGATCAAACAAATCCCATGGTTCCAGAAGAATTTTACACCACCAACGGCATTTTCGATAGACGAGACAATCGCATCGCCTCCAGAGCCACCACCA